AGGGGTGGAGAGGCTGAAAGGCTGAGGGGAGGCTGAGCAGCTGAGGGACTGAGGGGAGGCGGAGGGGCTGAAAAGCTGAGGGGAGGCCGAGCGACCGAGGGGAGGTTGGGGCCAGGGAGGGAGAGGCGTGAGTGCGTTGGAGGTCGGAAAGTTGTGTGGACACCAGGACCCTCCTGGGGGGGAGGTGGCCTGTGTGAGAGACAGGCAGCGCTTATCATCCTGAGGATGAGGCTGTGTCTTTGTGGATATTGTAAATGTGTCTGTGTGTGTCTGTCGGCGTGGGCCTGTATTTGTGTGTGAGACAGACAATGTCGTCTTGAGGATATGGCTGTGTCTGGATATTGATTATATGTGTGTGTGAGAGAGAGAGAAGAGGAGGAGAGAAGAGAGAGAGGGAGAGAAAGAAAGAAACTGCAGTGTCGTCCAGAAGCTGGGTCTGTGAATGTGTCCATGTGTGTCCATGTGGGTCATGTGTGGTAACATGAGTGTGTGTGTGTCCCACTTCTTCAGAGTTTTGGTGTCTCTCTGGGTCTCTGTCTATGCTTGTGTGGTGATATCTCTGAATGACTGGCTGTGTCCTTATCTTTGGTGGTGTTGGTGTGTCAGCCTTGATCTCTGTCCATGGGTCTCTGTGTGAAGGTGCCCTCTGGGTGTCTAGTTTCCATTCATGTCTCTTAGCATGAGTGTAGGGGTGTGTCTTTCCAGGAGCCAGGCCTGTTGGGGTCTTTCCCTATCTCTGTGTGTCCACCTGTGTCTGAGTGTTTCTTGATGTTTGTGAGTGACTCTGTAGGGGTGGGTGCGTCTGTGTGTGCCTCTTCCAAAGACTGTATGCTTGGATAAGGGGGCCTAGCAGAGCCACTATTTTCTCACCCCATACTTCTCCTAGTCTGCCCACCCACAATTCCCTGGCTTCTTCCTGCCCATGAAGGCTCTGTAGGGGTAGGAGCCTGGGAGTGAAGAAGTTGGGGTGGGGGAGGGCAAAGGAGGGCTATTTCTTCTGTCTCCTACAGGGTCTTCTCTTAAAGGGGGATCAGACTCCCAAAGGGTCTCTAAGCCCTACTCTGTTCTGACCAAGGAGAGGTTGACTTGTTCAGGGAATGTGTATGGAGCCAGTGCTGGCCATTTATAGGTGTCTCAGTTACTCTGAGGTAGGGACCGTCATCATCCTTATCTTACAGTTGGGGAAACTGAGTCTCAGACTAAGTGAATCACCCAAGGCTACACTCAAGCATCCAGGTTCCAGAGCCCCCACAATTAGCCATCAGACAAATGGGAGATTCTTTTTTTCCCTTTCTGCTCAGCTGATACAAGTTTTCAGGATTTTCCCCAAGGGAATCTCCCCTTGGAAACAAGGGAAATGGGAGAAAGGAAGGAAATGCTGAAAAGCTCAGAGGAAGAAGAATCCAGATCTAAGGCCAAACTGGGTTTAGCAGTCACTTGGGCAAGTCACTTCCAGGGCTGCTTTATGATTTTTAAGGGTACTTTGTCTTCATGGGCCCCTTGCCCCATTTTTATTTAAAGCACTAAAAATTACGTTTTGTGATTTCATTAATGGGCAGACAAACATAGACTGAATTATATTCACCTTTTTTCTTATGATTTTAAAAGAAATTAAGATCTTCCTATGGGCCCCTAAAGGTTTCATGGGCCCCAGGCTCTGTGCCTACTGGGTAAGTGGGCTCTGGTCACTGCTGTGATCTGGCAAAATGGGCCAGTGTTCTTGATGTCACAGCAGAGGTGAAAGTCAGAGACCACTGATCTGCAAGGAGTATGTTTTCTAAAATTCTGTTTCAGAAATTTTGACAGCAATATGAGGTTTCTGTACCCAGGGAAACAATTCAAATGAATAGAAAGAAAAAAGAATTAATAACCCCTACGCACTTCTCATTCCCACTCTATGCCATCCAGACACCCTCCCAGCCTTGTTCCACAGCCTTCCCCAGGCTGGAAAACACTGTACAGTTGTGTCCACATCCACATGTGTTGGTTTGGTTTTTCACAAAGGGGCTGAAGTTAGGCATAAAATTGTGTAACTTGCTTTTCTCACATAGTAAAACCAAAGACATGTCAACAGATGCAGAACTAACTCTGCTTTCTAGAGGTGACCTGATATTTCATACATGGAGACACTACCATTTACTCCTTTAGTAATGCTTATTAATTTTGTTTTCAAGGTTTGTTTTTCTTTTCCTCTAGAAACAATGCTGCCATAAATCTCTTTTTTTTCCTCTATGTAACTTTTACATAGAGCATTTATTGCTGTGGGCAGATTCTCAGGAACAGGGTTGCTGGGTTATGGCATTTGTGTATTGCCAGCTCACTTTCCAGAAAAAAGTTGAGCAACTCACATTCCCTCACTAGTGTGTTGAGAGGGCCTGTTCCTTTGAATCCTGGCCAGCACTAGAAGTTAGCTCATCTGTTCATTCAGCTTGATGTCTAAGTGCCTCTTGTGTGTTAGACATTGTCCTAGATGTTGGAAATACAATCCAAAAATGATAATCTCTGCTCCCTGGGGGCTTATGTTCTCATGGAGGGAAGACAGATGACAAACTTGAAAACAATTATTTTTAAAAAGACAGCTGTCAATAATGATTCATACTCCAAGAAAATAGAGGGGGAGAGAGTTGCTGCTTGAGCTCAGGTGGTAGGAGGTGGAGGACTTCTCCAAGGAGATAATGTTTCAAGCTGACAATGAAGCAGGGTCAGTCATAGGAGGAGCATTCCCTGCAGAGGGAACAGAAGAAGCAAAGGCCAGGGGGCCTGGGGCCAAGCATGGGAGAGGGGAGTAGGGGCAATGGAAGGGGAGAGACCATCAGTGGCACATTGTAAGGGCTGTGTGGGCAGCAGTGAAGACTTTGGGTGATTTCCAGTGGTGGGGGAAGCCAACGAACAGTTTTGAAGAGTTTTAACCCAGAGAACATTTTCACTCAGTGATTACAGTTGGCCAGGTGTGGTGCCTTTTTACGGGTGTAAAGTGGTGGGAACCCCAAGCCCACACCTTTGTGATCCTTCTGTTCTGCAGCAGGGCTTCTCAACCTCCACACTACCGACCTTTGCTCCTAATCATTCTTTGTTGTGGGGCCTGTCCCATGCATTGTACAATGTTTAGCAGCATCCCCAGTCTCTACCCTCTAAATGCTCATAGTATTCCCCTGCCAAGTTATGACAATTTGGCAGATGTCTCCGGGAGGGCAAAATTGTTCCCAGTTGAGTACCACTGACCCTAAAGGCTTCTGCCAACTTGGCCTTATACATATGTGTGTGTGTGTGTGTGTGTGTGTGTGTGTGTGTGTGTGTGTGTGTGTGTATATATATATATATATGCCCGCCTACATTTAAAATTACTTTTCACTTGTGAAAGTTGGGGTCCTTTGGTCTAAGAAAGACTCCTCTTTGTCTTAGTGGTTCTTACACTTTAAGAGGTATCAGAATCACCTGGGAAACTTGTTTAGAAATACTGATTCAAGGGCTCTATCCAGGTAGTTTGATTCAGAGGATCTGGGGTGGGAGCAGGAATATATATTCTGAGTAATATTTTAGTAAAAATCCTCAGTGATTCTGGTACTTTGAGAATTGGTGCACCAGCTAAAAGAATATTGTGTTGGAGATGACTAAGGTTTTTCTGGGTGATCCTGAAGGGTTAGAGATGTATAGATGCATGTTTCTGTTCACAGCAGAAGAAAAATTCATTTTCAGTCAGAGGTGTTGGTGGCATGGGTAGTCAGCTCCTGATGATGGGAGAAGCCAGGACTAAGCCAACATGTCTCAGACTCCAAGAATTGTCCTAACCTGTGCCCTGGATCCTAGTTTTCACTTTGCCATTTACTTGAACTGGCTCACTGATATTGTTTTTAAATTTAAATCAACTTAGTTAAAAAGGACATTCTGTGTGACTGCTGTAAAAAGAAGCTGAATTTTGCTGTAAGAAGGGAAACAAACATTAAAACAAATGGAAATAAAGCCAGGTAGTTCTAAGGAGATATTACGGTCACCCTAAGTTTGGGGCCTGACCCTAAATTTAAAATTCTTTTAAATTTTAATTTTTAATTTTTGTGGTTATATAGTAGGTTTATATATGTATGGAGTACATGAGATATTTTGACACAGGCATACAATGTGTAATAATCACATCAGGATAAATGGGGTATCTGTTACCTCAAGGATTTATCCTTTCTGTTACAAACAATCCAATTATACTTTGTTATTTTAAAATGTATCATTAAATTATTATTGAACATAGTCACCCTGTTATGCTATCAAATACTAGGTCTTATTAATTCTTTGTGTTGTTTTTTTTTTTTTTTAATATCTATTAGCCATCCCCACATTCCCCCTACCCCTCCACTACCCTTCCCAGCCTCTGGTTTCTTCATCATTCTAGTCTCTATCTCCATGAATTTAATGTTTTAATTTTTAGCTCACACAAGTGTACTGAATCATGGGGTGTCCCTTATGTTCAGGATCTGAGAAGTAAAGAGACAGGACACTGAAGAACTGGAAAAGAGCAGCTGGACTCAGGGGGCCATGCCATCTATGAGCAGAGACAGGCGAGACCCCTAACGTCCAGAAGCATCTGTATTTATTGGGCACAAGGAAGGGGAGCAGGGTCATGAGTGAGGTCATCGATAGGCTTAATGATAGGGCATACATAATCACTTGAGTAGCATGGGGGCCACCCCATTAGGTCACCTGGGCAGAGAGGTGGGCCGTGTGCAGAAGGGGGCCATGCCTTGCCCAGTAGCATCGGGTCATGTAAAGAAAAGGGGTCCACCCGCATTAGGTCACCGAGGCAAGGAGGTGGGCTGTGTGCAACAAGTGTCATGCACAACACTTCTTATTTGGGAGCTAGAGACTTCAAAGGATTTCTAATAGAAGGATACTATAAGCCAATGTGGTGGGAGCTGACAGACTTGTGCTCTTCTCTGAGATATTTATGGGAGGGTGATTTGAGCTATCACAGAAGCAAGAAAAGGCTAACAGGGTGTACAGCCGCCATGACCTGGTCACACCAGAGGGGTTCTTCTCCCTCGGCTATTTGCGGGATCTCAAGCGTGAGGCCTACTTGCCACAGGAACTGGATGCAAGGTACTACAACTCCTTTTTCAGGAGGAGAGGCTCTTGCTCCAAGCCTGCCATATAGTGTATGTATGCCCTTTCAGGCAGGGACAACACTGCCTGGATCTTTCGTTCTTGTCTTGGTCTGGCTGTTTTCCCATGTACTTGCTTCTGCTCTGTGACTGCTCTAGGCATTCCTCCTACTACAGACCACTATATAGTTATATAGAAAGATTATATAAATCATCACTAAATGTGTTGGTACAGCTCCGACTATAATATATATATGATGATATAGACTACAGTATTTATATGACTATATAGAAAGATTATATGGAACTCAGTATGCTAGATATAAGTACTAAGTATATTATGTAAGCTAGATATATGTAAGCAGTAAGTTATACTTCAGGCACTAATTCTATAAACCAATATAAGATTATAAAAGATTATATAAAGGAAATAACTGAGTAATAACGCTATAAACTGAGATATTCTTCAGGCTCTAATTGTGCCTGGGGTTTGCACAGCTCCCCTTCCTTGGTGCTCATGTAGGGGGTTACTCACACACAAATATGTGAGAACATGCAAAGTTTGTCTTTCTATGCCTGGCTTAACATAATGACCTCCAGTTTTATGTATGTTGTTGCAAATGACAGGATCTTATTTTCCTGCTTTTCTTTTGTTTCAAGGAGTGAGTAAGGAGTTGCAGGGATGTTAAGATATGCTAGCAGTCACTTGAGACTTTGTCCTGAGCTTGTCAGGAGAACTGAAAGAGAATTGAGCCAGGATGCATTTCTCTAGGCAAATCTGGCTCTGAGAGCCCCTGTTCCTTACACACATATCTGCTGTTTGAACCTCATGGTAACCCCATGAAGCCTGGGGGAAGCGCCCAAAGAGGCCACAGGTGGTGCTGGGGCATATCAGGGGGCCTCCATCCAGCACTCACACTCAAGGAGGGATCTGGGCAGGGCCACTGGGAGAGGGCAGGGTGTCCTGTGGCCCTCAGCAGCATGTGGAAATGTAAGTGTATGTGTATTGGGAGTGTCTGTAGGATGCACATGGAAGTGCATTTGTGAGGCACCATAGCCTACTGGCTAAGCATGTGGATGGACCCAGCCATATTCTGCCTGACTCCAGCCCCAGCTTTGTAATCTTGAGCAAGTGGTTTATCTCTTTGGACCACAGTCTCCTTATCTGTGAAATGGGTGGGCAGAATTAGTGCCTACCTTCCAGGATGGTTGCAAGATCAAGTGAGATACATTCATCAAGTTCCCTGCCTGCAGTAAGCCCTGTAAATACTCACTGTTGGTGTGTGTGTATGTGTGTCTGTCTGTCTCTGCTTGTCTCTCAGTGGGTGTGTGTCTGTCCCATCTGCATTTGTGAGGCCAGCCCAGGCCTGGCCTCTAAGCATGCCTTCCTCTCTCCTCTCCCTACAGCCTTGTTGGCTCTCCCCAGGCCTGTCTTCCTGTTCACCTTAGGCAGCAGAGGGATGGCTGCTCAGCTGCTGACTGATGAGGCACTGGTGAGTCATGTTGCCCTATCACTCTCCTTTCCAAAGGCTGGATTCCTGCCTTTGGGTGAGCCTCTGCCACCCGAACCCTCTCGAGGGCCCCCAGTCCCATATCCTGGGGCTATGTCTGCCCTGATAAGGAGGGCTATGCTTACAGACGATGCTGACCCTGGCTGTGGGGTCAGTTTTGGGGAACAAGGAAGCTTTGGAATGGGCAAACTACCTCTCTGGGCTCTGAGGAGACACAGGTGGGTACCTGCAGGAAGTGGTGGTTTAGGCGTATGACATTGAGTGCCATCCCAGGCAGGACCATGCTGGACGTGTGACCTTTAAAATGGGCGAACACACTAAATGCTCTTTGTGAATGCCCACATGTGGGATGAAAGTACAGACGCGTATGAGAATGAAGCCCACAAATTCACCCATGACTTTACCCCAAAAGATAATCAGTCTGGAATGTTTCAGCCTGGCTAAGCAATTTTAATATTAAAGAGTGCTTTTTCATCAGAGATTTCATCCTGAGCATTTCTCCACATCACTAAAAACTCCTTTGTAACATCCATTTTAATGACCACATAAAAGTGTTGTTCAGTGGCCATACCCTGTTTTACTTAATAGTTCCTCTGTTGTTGGACCTTTAATGGTTTCCAAGTATTCTTTTCTGGTTATAAACAGTGTTGTGAGGGACACTGGGCATAAATCTTCCCCTGTGTCTTATATGATTTCTTTAGGAGCGATTCCTTGAAGAGGAATATTGGGTTGGGTATTTTTGAGACCTTTGATACTACTTTCCAAATCGATTATGATGCTATGTATTCCCACCAGCCTGTCTGAGTGGGTCTCTGCTGGTTTATATGGCTGTTGTCAGGCTTTTATTCTGCATGTTGGATATATTTAGATTGGTACAATATTACACCATGATAATAAATGACAAATGGATATAAATGACAAATGCTATAAACCATGAGCCTGATAGGGGACAAGTGGTGCCAAGTGATCTCTTTCTGAACAGCATTGTTTGTATCGTTAGTGAAGTTCAAGTCTTAGAAAATGTTTACTAGCCATTTCTGTGGGCAGGGAAATGATACATCTTGTGCTTTACCAGCCTACAGGAATCTGAGTATACTTTAAATGTGTATGTGTAAATATTTGTGGCAGATATTCTTCCCAGATTTGCTTTTTGTTTTTTATTTTACTTTATTTTTTCTGTATAAAAGCATTTCATATTTTAAAAATCAAATCTGTTGGTTTCTCCCACCGTGGTGTCTTTCTTCATCTTTAAGCTGCTTCTCCATCCACAGGTCAGATAGCAGCTATATTTTCTTCCTTTTTACCATTTATCATTTGAATATTTGCAATGAATGTTTGAATCTACCTGTAATTTATTTTGCTATGTAAATGTGTCAACTGACTTATTTGGGAGCTTTGGTTTATTCCGTCTTCATTTATTTGATACCTTTGTTGAGGTAATAAATCATGTACCACGAAGTGTATAATTCATTAATTTTGGGTACATTCATAGAGTTGTGTAACATCATCACAGTCAATTTCAGAACATTTTCATCATGCTGAAGGAGCTGAGTACCCATTGGCACTCATTCCCAGTTTTCCCCATCAATCTGCAGCCCCTGGCAGCCAGTAATCAGCTTTCTGTCTCTATGAATTTGACTATTCTGGACATTTCAAATAAATGGAATCATACACCATATGGTCTTTTGTGACTGGTTTCCTTCACTCAGCATAATATTTACAAGGTTCATCCATGTGGTACCACATATAAGGCTTCATTCCTTTTTTTGATGGAACAGTATACACTGTGTGGTTATACCACAGTTTATTTATCCTTTCATCAGTTAATGGACATTTGGGTTGTTTCCAGTTTTGGGCTGTTACGAATAATGCTGTTATGAACATTCATGTATAAGTATTTGTTTGAACATGTGTTCTCAATTCTCTTGGATGTGTACCTAAAAGTGGAATGTTGGGTCATATAGTTAACTCTATTTAACTATTAAAGGAACCACCAGACTGCTTTCCTACGTGATTGCACCATGATGTCTTCATTTTTATCTCATCTGTGATTCTTGTATTGAGTTCTTTTACCTACATTACGTAGGAAGATTTGTTGATTGTTTTTATTTCAACAGGGTTGGGAGTTTTGGTTTAAGTTTGGTTTTTCACAAATTACTACTAGTGTAATTACATTATGATTTTTTTAAAAATTGAGCCTGTCTGATTTCAGTGTTTTCGAGTTTTCCCTGTGAAATGGTTTGTAACGTTAGACGGGAAACAGAAAAAGATGGAGTACTAGAAAGAGTGGACTTGGACACGTACATGCAGAGAACTCAGAGGCCCTTTGTAGCAGTTCTGTTCCAACATGATGGGCTCCCAGAACTGTTAGGCTATGTTCTGTGTCTTAGCACAACTCTGGTGCCAGCCTGGGCTTGGTGCCTGGAGACTGCTCAGTGAATATTTATTGAGTGAATTAGGTGGGTGTACTTAGGGAAGACTTCCAGAAGGAATTGTTATATTACAATTTTGTAAAATAAGTAAATATAGAGGTGAGAGGGAACTTTTGGAGGTAATGGATCAGTTTATGGCCTTGATGGTGGTGATGGTTTCATGGGTGTATATGCATCCCCAAACTATGTACATTATTAAATATGTACAGCTTTTTGTATATCAGTCACACCTCAATCAAGTGGTTTAAATTAAAAAAAAGAAGGAATTATTAGCTGGGCTGGCTGAAAGATATATTGGGCCAAAAGTCACCAAAAGTCAAATAATATCATATAATATAAGGATCTGTAATTGTATGTAAGATACATGTTAAATATCAAAATGAAATAATAGCAGGAGTTAACATTTACTGAGAGCTTCCTCCATCACACGAGGCACTGTGCTGGGACCATATCTGTACACATTTAACCTCATGACCCTGTGGAGGGGGACATTGTTATCAGGAAGCCAGCTTCACCTCAGGAAGAGAAAGACGGTTGTCTAAGGAAACACAGCTCGTGAAAGGCAGAGCCAGTTTTCTATCACAGAGTGTGGTCCCTGAGCCCACACTCTGAACCAACACCCCAGCTGCTTTCTATCAAAGCTGAGCCCTCAGGCAGAGGAGGCTGTCCTAAGCCCAAGCCCCAGAAGGGCACCCTGGGACCATGAAGGGACTAGCTAGTGGGGGTAAGGCCTCCCCTTGGGATTCAGTTGGTGGTGGGGAGACTCAGTATGCTGGAGAGAGCCAGTGAGCTCTGGGTGTCAGTACCAATAGCTAGAAGTTACTGAGTGCCTGCTGTATGCTGTATACTACCATTCTGAGTGTTTTACATAAGTAAGTGGGTAGGTGGGGCCTGTGGCAAGTTGGAGTTCTCTTGCCCCACTCAGCTCTAGTCTAAAGTGACCAGATATTCTAGTGTTTAAAGAGAAACTAGAAATTCATTTTCTTGGTAAATTGTGGATTTTTTTTCTTGTGAGTAACAATTAAAAACAATTTTTTCCTATGAGTAACAATTAAAAACAATTTTCAAACCGCCATAGGAGCAAAATAGAAATGTGTGCAGCTGTCTTCAGGCCCAGGAACATCTTGTATGTGGTACCCACTCAGAGCTTCCATTCTTTCCTTGTGCCATGGGGGTTGTCCTACTGAATCAGTTCAGAACAGCAAGTCCCTTTGTAGGACATAATAGATGTCTCATTATTCACATGCCATGCTGTGAGGAAGCCCAACCAGCCATAAGCAAAAGCCATGTGGAGAAAAAGAGATGCCCACCAAGGCCTCAGCTGTGCCATCCACACCAGCTCAAGAGACAGACATGTCAGCAAAGAAACTGGACTACTCTAGCCCAGCTGCCATTCAATTGCCACCACACAAGAGATGCCAGGTAGGAACTGCCCAGCTGAGCCCATCAACCCCAAAATAGTAATAAATTGTTGTTTTTGAGCTATGACATTCTGAGATAGCTGCTACCCAAGAAAATATAACTGGATCAGAAATTTAATCTGTGGCGTGACTCAAGATCTTCATGTTGCAGACTCATGCATGGATGATGTGATCAGCCAGCAATAATGCGAGACGTGCAGGCCTTCACCACACTAGGGACAAGGTTGACTGTCAGTAGCTTCAGGATCATTCATGATCTATCTGGAAGAGAAGCACCAACTGGGACACTGTGATATTTATTCAGCTGTCTTGTTTATGGGCAAAGAACATATACCATCCATCTTAGGGTCTAATCCAAACAAAACTGCTCCTTGACCGTGATGCTAGATTAGTATTATATGTGAATGAAGCCATCTAATACTGGGTCTGAGAGTTGAACTGACTGGGTTTAAAATGCTGCCACTCCCATCTGGGTGACCTCTTGTGCTTCAGTCTCTCCCTTTGTAAAAGAGATGAGCTCATAGAAGTGCCTGCCTAGTAAGGTTGTTTTAAAAATTAAGTGAGATGATAATGTCCAATGGGCTTAGAACAATACCTGACATGTAGTATGTGCTTAATGAACATTAGTTATTTTTATCAATGTTTACTAATGAATTAGTGGGGAAGAAACCTGGTGCCAATATCATGTCTGTCTTATTCATAGTTGTATGCCCAATCCCTGGTGCATAGTAGACACTCAATAAATATTGGTTGAATGAATACATAAATGGGTGAAATATCACTCTCTGTGTTTCCAGTAACCATCAATGAATGTATTTAGTGTATGTCAGAATATGTATTAGATGCCATTGACCTAGAATTCCTCTTTAGGGGGTAAAAATTCGATTGTTGGATGGCAGCTGGGCTGGAGTAGTCCGCTGGCTTCTTTGCTCGCATGTCTGTCTCTTTAGCTGGTGTGGATGGCACAGCTGAGGCTTTGGTGGGCATCTCTTCATTTAAATGAGGGAATCAGGCAGTATTTTAACTTCTGTGTCCAGTGCTTCCACCTTTTGGCAACTGTGATTAGTGCTCCCATGAACATGAGTGTGCGTATAACCTTTCCTTGGGAGGGGCACCACACTGCTTCTGC